AAAGATGATGAATATTGATCCTATAACAATCTCTTGTGTCTTTTTTGTAAAGAGTATTGCTTTGTTATGAAATCATAAACTCATAATTATTGGTTATGTTTATTGCTTAGCTGCTAGACGGAATTGTATGCTTCAGTTGTGATTTATTGTGAAGGCAATTAGAAGAATATTGTACTCTTAAATTTCTAATAATTTTTTGGTAAGAAATTATAATTATGTTACATAGTTTATACCTGAACATCGCGAGTAAATTTTTGGTTAACATCATGATAGAAATCAGATCCATGCCCTTTTTAAACAGTAGTAGAATAATACTTTAAGACTTAAAAATTATATTGACTTGTTTGGTTATAAACATAGAAGCATGTACAACGTAAATATTAGAACATTTACATTACAGTTATGCTAATAAACTACTTAGGGAATGACTTTTAATGTAAATAAAGGGTAAAGTGGCATAAAAAGTAAAAACTTACCTAACATATGCTTGAAGTTTGGGTTATGAACACCCAAAAATATTGGCTTAGTGAGAAGAAGAAGAATCAATTGAAGGAGCTTTTAAAGGACCCTTCAATGAAAAAACAAAATTATGCCCTAAAAGAATTCCTTCTTTAACTTAAACCTATATTTAGATAGTTCAAGTAAAAAAAATATTTTATACATGGTAAAATTTTAATTGCTCTAAAGTTTTAAATACTACGATTTCATATCTAGTCCAAATAAAGAAAACTTTAATAACTAAAATTTTAATTAATTTTTATGTCCTAAATATTAGAAAAATAATTAATGACTAATTTTTCTCTAGTAATTTAATTTATTATAAAAATTATTAAAATTAGTGTTAATATTCATTTTTACTTCTCAAATAAAGATATTTTGTTTTGAAATCTTTTAGACCTTTTTTGCCTTGTATTGTAGATCAATGAATTTATAAAATATAAGGTACTGTTAAAAATAAAAGAAATAGATATTAGAGCTCTTAAAAGGAGGCATACACTCCTTTTTAACCCAGCATTTCGGGTTTCTAACTTATAACTCAACAATAATATAGACAAATTCTTGCGTTTAGTTATTTACCCATTCAATCTAAAGTAAATTTTAATTGATTTTAAAAGTTTAAATATTAATATTTCTTGGTTTTAATAAAGAAAGAGTTAATAATGAAAACTTTAGTTGATTTCAAATTCCTATATATTATGAAAATAACTAAATAACTATTTTCAGTAATTTTTTTAAGGTAAACGGATGAACGACATTTCGCCAAAGGACGTCGTGCTTTTGATATATTTTTAAAAGATAAAAAATATAATTTATTTTTAGATATTTGTGTTTGTATAATTATTAGTGTTTTTGACTCTTATCAACTACTTTTCTCTCTTATATTCTTAAATGTTTTCTTATTTAATTATTGTATTTATTGAGTGTAGTTTTTAAATATTATACTAAAAGGTTGATAAATGGAAAAATATTGTTTTAGTAGAAAAGTAGTTTAACTATAACATGGAAATATATTAGGCTTACAATTGAAAGCATTCTTCGATAGATCAACATTCATATGCTCAAGTGTTTTAAATTGAGACCATTTGATCGTTTATTCGTGAAACTGGTTGTATTTATTTATAGTTTTGTTACATACTCTAAAAGAAAACAAATTCTATAATATAAATATAAACTGATTTTTAAATTTTATAAATTAGGACTTTTTACACAACTAAATAAGGAAAGATTTATAAGTCAACCATACATTAATTTTCATGTCCTAAATATTAGGAAAATGACTAAAATGACGATTTTGTACAATGTAAACTTTATTTTAAAGGGTAAAAAAGGCCTTTGTGCTTTTAATATAATACTAGTTTCAGGGTACGCGCGTTGCGCGTGTATCCTAACGTGTGTACCTTATCTTAATAAGTTAAATTTTTAAAATATCACATAAATGTTATATTTAAAATTTGTGTCTGAGATATGTATAAGGTAGAAGTTAACGAAAAAATTTAAATTTTTTAAAATGATGATTGTTGATCCTATTTAGGTAACTCAATAATGTAAGAAAATTATCCTTGCATAAGTCGATCAATTGTCTTAATCAATATATTTAACTTAAAATTTATTTTAGTTTTATAATTTTATTACTTAATTTCTGAGGTTATCATGCTCCTTTTTATTATTAGTACACATATCCTTGAAGATTGAGGTTTTTTTTTTTCTTGAAAAACTATATATTCATATGTTAATTATAGAAGATATAAAATAGGATCAACTAACCGACAAATCTTTCTTATTTTTTCACCGAACGCCCAAAATTAAGATACTGACAAATTTTTTTTACCTGTTAAAAATATATTTTATACTGGACAAAATTATCATTTAACTATTTTTTTAGTATTTAAATTTGTATGTCAACTATAATCTTTTTATTAGATCTTTCATTATTTGAACTATACATAAAATCCTAATATGCAAGACTTTAGAATTAACTAAGATTAGCTTTTATAAATTTGTTCTAATATGTAGACTTTAGCTTTAGTTATAACGAACCAAGTATGTTTTAGCTCAACAAAAAGCTAAATATGTTCGTATGATTACGGTAAGACCGTAAGGCTTACCATAATCAAGTAAACTTTATATTGAATTCAAATATTATCATTAGATAATATTAACAAAATAAATCGATGTTACAATTATGAAACTTATATAGCGAAATAAAATTTACACCACATACATTCTAAGATCATTTATTTGAGAAAAATAATTTAATTAAGTATGTGATCAATTACTGTTGAAAATAGAACATGGTGTGAAACATCAATGTAATATCGACCTAGCACTTCAACTCAGATTGCTTGTGGACAACACATGACCAATATATTAATTTAGTTTAGGGGTTCCTTTCCTTTCTATTGTTTACGTATTTTATCATGACAACAACATTTACATTATTTTATCATGACAACAACATTTACATTATTTTATCATGGCCACATTTTTAATATACCTTAAAAAATTTTGCGTACAACTTATCAAAAAGAGTTGCCAAAAAATTATCAATTAGCTCGAATAATAAACATGAGGATAAACGAATAAACACATCAATATGAAATTTGAGAGATTATTAATCTTTCACATATAAATATACTTCTAGCAGCATTAGCCTAATTTAATGCTAGTGGTTATTAGACGAACAATGAATGAGATCTTAAAAGTTATTCCGCACATTAGAAATGGCTCTTATTTATTTCATCTATGTTATATGTTTTCTCTAACAAACAATGTAAGAACGCATCAAATAGATAATATTCAACTAATAAAGCTGACCAGAAGCATGTCGGAAAGGAATCACAAATTTCCAAAAAAAAAAAACGGCAATATCATATAACTAAATTGGAGATAAAATAATTTTAGTTGAACACGAGTATAACTTGAATATACCAATAGTTTAGAAAATATATTTATACTATTAGGTCATCCAACAAAAATCTACAAATAATCATTCATAAAAAAAGTAAGATCTATAATGGATTTTTCTGTAAGCGTATGAATCTTAAGCTGTCTAGAAAGCCTTAGCTCATTACACAAGTTCAATCCTTCTTGTGTACAAACTCCTATAAGCTTACCATAGGTATAATATTATACAGAATCTCACCGCAACTACCAAAAAAAGTAAGATCTATAATCTGCTATAAAACTTAAAGATGAATATTACACTTACAATATAAGTTAAAACTCTTACAGTAAAATTTTTGGGATTGCGTCTTGCATAATGATTATTCAACATGAGTTCTTCTTAATTTTTAAATCTTTGTACATAGAGATCTAGGATAACTTTTTCTATGTGAGTAGAATTAAGGTTGAATGATTTTCAGTTTCGTTTCTTTTCCTAGGTACAAATTAACACTCACTTAATGCATATATTGGAATTATGATTCTACATGAAGTGTCGTTAGAGTGACACGACGGAATGTACTAACATACAATCTATGGATATAAAAATTATCAAAAACTAAAAGTGGTGCATAACTACATATCCCTAACATTAAAGTAGTACCAACTACCAACTAAAGTTGTACGCAAGTAAGAAACATACTAATACATTTTTCTTTCAAAGCAATGACACACAAAGCGCGATTGAGCTCTCAAGAATATAGAAACATAAAAAAATTATAAAAACATAGATCCACTAAAACCATGAGGTATACCAATAGGTAACATAAATCCTTGAAAATCCACATGAATCGCAACAAACAAAGAATGCATAATCAAATTTATAAACTAAAATGTCAAATATCCCAAGTTAGTTTGATATTAAGTGGAGAATCAGACCTGGTTAAAGTTGGTAAAGCAACATAATTGAGAGTCTAATCTGATAAGCAATAGATTTATGAGTTGTGGCAGAACTCAACTTTTCTTTCATTCTTAGAATTCTTTTATTGATGGTTTTCTAACCTATAGTAGGATTTTATTAAGATTCATTAATAAATCAAGCAAAGAAAACGTATTAGTTTAGAGTTATGTTAAGTAAGGAAACTTTGTATAATATAAAATCTTAATTGTTTTTAAGTCCAAAAATTTAGGAAAAATTTGATTTGATTTTAAAGTCATAAATATTATTAAAATACTCAAATGACTATCTTGTCCAGTATGAACTCTCTTTTTAAAGGATAAAAAAGGCGAATGACATTTCGTTAAGAGCCTTCGTGCTTTTAATATAGTATAGATAAATAGATATAGATATAGATATAGATACAAATTACACTCGTTATAAATTTTTAATAAAGGGCTTGAGCACAATAGTCAATAGGCCCAAAAGAGGTTGTGATCCAACCCAAATCAGGTGACTCGGCCCAAACAAATACCGGACCCCAGTCCAAAGGCGGGAAATCACATTTCACCAATAAGTGGCGGGAAGGTCGCTTCACAAAAGAAAATATAAATATTCTGAAAAGGTTCCAATTTTGTTGGTCTAAGCGGGTTCACTATAAATACTGAAAACGTATTAGACCGTTTTCGAGTCGGTCCATACTATAGTACCACTTACTTTCCTCTTAAGGTGTTTTCCTCCAGCAGAGAAAACCCTCAAACTCGCGTTTTGAAATCGGAGCAGATGGCGAAAAACTCGAGAGCGAAATCCTCGTCGGAGGAGCCATTTTCGGACGGTTCCGAGGAGGAGCAAGTCAACGATCAAGTCAACTATGAAGAAGACGAGGAGGAGCTTGAAGCCGTTGCTAGGTCCGCCGATGACTATGAAGAAGACGACGATGCTCCTGCATCCAACAGAGCCGACGACGATGACGAGGTGCGTTTATTGGCCGTTCTCTTTAGGCTTTGGTATTTTTTTTTTTGGAACTGTTATTTTGCAGATCTAAGTTTACATTAGAATTCTTCTTCGGTTTGGTGTTTTTGCTGAAATAGACGAGGAATAATGTTGTGTTACTGACGAATAATGATGTGTTACTGAGTGGATATTTTAAGTAAAGCTTCAAAGCATTAGAAAGGAATGTGAATATGCAACCATTGCAATAGAGCTGTTGTTACTGTTTTTAGCTCATTATTATTAAGTAATGCCCGATAATAATGTGCTAATGAATGGATATGTGAAATTTGAGGTGGTGTTGAAATGGCAGAAAGGAATGCAAATGTGAATTTAGAAGCTCTGGTCATTGTTACGAATTAAGGCCCAGTAACTATTCCCCAAGTTAGCAAACATCATAGACTTTCTAGTTTAGAGTTAATATTTCAAGTGAATTTCTGATGGCATAAAGGAAAAGGAAAGAACATTTCATCAAAGAAACAGAAGATCTTGTCCCTGATAAAACGTGTTGAAATAGCTCATCAATATGAATTATTCAATTTGTAGTATCTGTGAAGCTAAAGTGATGATGACTTTTAGGTGATTTAATGTAGCTTTATGAGAGTTATCTTAAGTTTGTTTTGCTACGCCACCTGTAGGAAGATGCTGCAGCTAATGAGATCTCAAAGCGTGAAAAAGCGAGGTTAAAAGAGATGCAGAGGCGTAAGAAGCAAAAGATACAGGATATGTTGGATGCACAGAATGCTGCCATAGAAGCTGATATGGTATCTTACTTAGACCAATTGCTGAGAGATCATGGGTTCTGCTCTTTTCAATTAGTTTCTTGTGAAGATGTGCCTTATGGAAATTTTATCTTTGGCAGAATAACAAGGGAAAGGGGCGTCTGAAGTATCTTTTGGAGCAAACAGAGTTGTTTGCACATTTTGCAAAAACTGACCAGTCTACTCCAGAAAAGAAGGCAAAAGGAAGGTACGTGTAATGCGGTTTTTGTATTTTTTATATGCAGGGACTTTAGTTTGAAAGCTGTCAGTGTGATTCTAGAGACCTGTTAGTAGATTTGGGATTCAGGTATTTTTGAGCCGTGCACCTTTTTAGGTGTTAGCGGTCAGGAGGTTAATGCTTTGTGGAGAAAGGTCATCCGTGCCAAGTATGGACAAAATGGACTATGGTGCTCTAACATTGTTAATAGTTCACATGGGGTTGGGGTATGGAAGTCAATCAGACTTCACTGGAATACTCTGGCTGATAATACATCCATAAAGGTGGGTAATGGAAGGAAAACACTTTTCCGGAGTGATAACTGGTTAGGACATGGTCCTTTCAAAGATTTTTTTCCTAATTTTTTCAGCATTGCAACATCGCCTACATCCACTTTAGACAATGCCTGGGGTCATCAAGGATGGAATGTTACTTTTAGAAGGGCCTTGAATGATTGGGAATTAGAGAGGGTTGTGGATTTCTTTAATATCTTGGAACGTTTCCAAGGTCTTGGAGAAACTGAAGATAAACTCTGTTGGAACCTTTGCAGGAGTGGGAATTTTACGGTCAAATCCGCATACACTCTAATTGCCGCTTCAAACCAACAGTTAGAACAATGGCCCTGGAGGTATATATGGAAAGTAAAGGCACCTTTCAAGGTGGTATGCTTTTCATGGTTAGTTGCAAGAAAGGCTTGTCTAACCCAAGAGAACTTGAGAAGAAGAGGTTTTCAGCTATGCTCTAGATGCCTATTATGTGGTTCAGCTATAGAAACTAATAGCCACTTGTTTCTTCATTGTCCTTTTACTGACAAACTGTGGCAGCTCTTTCTTAATATTGTGGGCCTTAAATGGAGCATGCCAGCTAACACTTGTGAACTGTTGAAGTGTTGGAATTACAATGGGGATATAGTGAGACAGAAGAAATGGTGGCGATTGGTTCCTGCGTGCATATGGTGGACTGTCTGGAAGGAGAGAAATTTAAGAACTTTTGAAGACAGAAGCAATTCTTTACAGAAAATCAAGATGAAGTGTTTACTTTTGTTTCATTTCTGGTGCAAAGAAAGTTATGTTGAGGAGGCAGAATCTTTAGTAGACCTGATAGGTGCACTGTAATCCTAGGTTGACATAGCTGGTTTTTGTTCCTTGTAAATATGGCTTGGCACTGCCCTAGTGTTGTTTATTTTTAATATACTTGTTAACATTATAAAAAAAAAGGTGTTAGCGGTCAGGAAATAGAATGGGATAAAAGGAAGAAGGTTTACATATATGGATCCATTCTTGTTTGGTAGGTTTAGTCGGCAAATTGAAATCAACACATCCTAAATATTTTTGCTGTTTGAGTAACATGGTAAGGGAGATTCACTTTGTTTGTTTGGTTTTCAAGTGGCCACCTCCTCTTGAAATGGTGACTAGGGATTGTTGTCTCTACTCTTAGTACAGTTAGGGCAGGCTTACTCCCAAAAATAATAGTGGTTGTATTTTGCTTATTTTACAATTGACTGCTATATATTGTTATAGATGATTACATGATTGAACCTGATCCCTTCCAGTTGAATTGCTGTGTTATATGGAGAAGCTTGCTTCATTAATGTGATTTACTGCTTAAATTCTATATATGTACGATTGTCTTCTGTATGAATCCACTGATTAAACTTTTTCTTCAGGGGTCGTCATGCGTCAAAGATGACTGAAGAGGAAGAAGATGAAGAGTATCTCAAAGAAGAAGAGGGTGGGCTTGGAAATACACGGCTAGTGGCTCAGCCCTCTTGTAAGGACTTCCCCTGTATTTTAGCTTCTTGCTTTACACTGTATGTTTCAGCACAAGTATATTTATAGTATGAAACCTCTACCGGACTGTCTCAGAATTGCTTAGATCAGATGTAACCGGAATTGTTAATGATCTATCTGATCGAATATGTCCCTCCTTTCTAGAGATTTAAAATGTCTGGTTTAGTAATTCCCTTTATAATCCTTCTCTTTTATGATTTAGCCATATATATAGAAATCCTACTCAAGTTGAAAAAAATGTTTTTTTCAACCGTGCCTACAAACAGTACTTGTAAGAAAAGTGATTTCAATAATCTATTTGAGTACATTTTGTTTGATAAGGTTAGATAATCTCCTCAAACTTTACTTCGCCTATTTGAAGTTAATTTGTAAATCTTTGGAATTCTCTGCTAATTGAGAAATATTTATGTCTTATTCTGGGGAATTTAGTAAGCCTAGAGCCTGCAAGTTGTGTTATTGGCTAGGTAAATTTCAATCTCATTCCTGTACCACCAACTAAAGCAATCTAGATATCAGGTACTGTTGACTTAGATTGTGGGAATGTTCCTACTATGTTAGATGTAATGTGCTTGGTTTAAGTTCTAGAGGTACATCCATAGTTTAGTTTGCTGTATTGAAGGCATTATATATGTTTGAGGGTAATACGGTTAGGTTATACGAGTATGTGTGCAGAGTTTCAAAGAACTTGAGTTCCTTCTCTATGGTTGTATCTAATCAGCACTTGTTTAAACTGTGTAATCTTTACTTTGTATGAAGTCGCTGAGGAATAAATGAAGCTTAGGAACAATGGATCTCCTTAAATGTGTCCCCTATAGAATAGCTTAAGCTTTTAGATGAGTTGGTTGACACAATTCAATATAGTATTGGAGCATGCAGAGGTTCGTCCCGAGTTCGAGTCTGCTGCCATTTATCAAAAACTATTCCATGTTTTTGACCTAGGAGAATAGAATTGGGCCTACATGGAAGGGGCGTGTAGCAGATCTAAAATAATTCAATAAGAGTGTCTGCTCTGCAACATCTTGGACCTTCAAATGATGTGGTTCACACAATACGATATATTCTTTACTGAGGTTTTCCACTACTAGCATTTTACTTGAAAGTGCTAAAAGTCTGATAGCCTTGACCTTGTGGGCATTCTGGTGGAAAAGATCAAATTGAGTAGTGGAAATTTGAATTCCGTTGTGATTAATGCTTATATTTCCGACAAACTTCTTGTTTAATTCTCTCATTTCCTTGCCTCATTAAGGATGTAATGGTTCACGTGCGTGTTTATCAGGTATTCAAGGAAAGATGAGGGATTATCAACTTGCTGGTTTGAACTGGATGATACGGCTATATGAGAATGGCATAAATGGGATACTTGCTGATGAAATGGTCAGTGTTGTCACTTGAATTTTTTTGGGATATTCCTTTATCATTTTGTGCTTCGGGCTTTTTGGGAGACACATCTTGATTTAATTATTCCTGTAATTGCATAGGGTCTTGGTAAGACTTTGCAAACCATCTCCTTGATGGGGTACCTGCATGAGTTTAGAGGCATTACTGGTCCTCACATGGTTGTTGCGCCGAAATCCACGCTTGGCAATTGGATGAATGAAATCAAACGTTTTTGTCCTACTTTGCGTGCTGTAAAGTTCCTTGGAAACCCCGAAGAAAGGGTAAGCAGTTACAGAGTTCTCCTTCTTTCCCTTTTGTATATATCTTATTACTTCTCCTGACTATGCCGATGTTTCCCTTTTATAGAGATACATCCGAGAGGAGTTACTTGTTGCTGGGAGGTTTGATGTGTGTGTCACAAGTTTTGAGATGGCCATCAAAGAGAAATCTGCTTTACGTCGCTTTAGTTGGCGTTACATCATCATTGATGAGGCTCATAGAATCAAGAATGAAAATTCTCTTCTTTCCAAGACCATGAGGCTCTACAATACTAATTATAGGCTGTTGATCACAGGGACACCGCTTCAGGTGATTTTTGTCTTTGATGATTTTCTTTTTGTTTAGCAAGTAGTCCTTTTATACATGTCTCAATTTAGCCTGACCCTATCCTGAAATGCTTATTTACCTGTCCAAGAACTTTAAAATTGATATGGAATAGTGTTACCTTTTTGTAATTCATGTGGGGCATCTCTTTAGAAAACTAATCTATTTTTTCTCTTAATATATCAGATGTTATTTTATTAAGCTCTCCTATATCACTGCTTCTTAAACCTTTTCTCGGAATTTTTTATCATTTAAACCTTATCTTCGGTTTTGCAACAGTGAAATGCTAGTTTTTCATCTCTTAACTTTGTTAGACTGTACTATTCTCTGGTATGGATCTCTTTAATCTCATTACTTGATGTGCTGGGGGTCTATGCGATTGCACAGAATAATCTTCATGAGCTCTGGGCACTTCTGAACTTTTTGCTGCCTGAGATCTTTAGCTCGGCCGAGACATTTGATGAGTGGTTTCAAATATCTGGTGAGAATGACCAGCAGGAGGTGGTCCAGCAGCTTCATAAGGTATATTTGGCAGTAGTAGTTTGTATAATTGATAGTAGCAGTTTCGGCTATGTTGTAAGAAACAGTGTTCTAGTTGAGGGCATAAAGATAGATCAACTACGTGTGTGAGAGCTTGCAGTAGACTTGATCTCCATACTTTTTAAATCCCACTAAGAAAAATACTGTTTACAATTTTTTTTT